CAGACAGATCCAAAACCAACAATATTCAAGTCCCTCATGATATGAAGACAGTACGATGGATACTAGGAAACATTATAGAGTAGCTGCACTAATTAATTCCTAAGGCTTGCTGCCCAACCAAGACCTTAATATGAAGCTAAGCTCAACTAATTGCTAGTTTTGTTCTTCATATCACTGTATAATTCCTCGACACATGAGAAAGAAGCAATAAGAAAGATATTATTCTACCAGAAGAAGATTCAGGAGATACCGTATTTCTAGATTTTATTGGTGAGTAGAACAGAGGCAAGCACTCCAGCAGGCAGTGCCACCAATAGGAGGGGATATCATTTTCAACATACTAACGAGCGGTATCATAGAAATATATCTTTCTTGGCCTTTGGTCTAAACTGAGAAATAAAAGAATGCACTATCAACATATGAAGTACCATTCTAAGAGAAAGGAGAATTAGATACCCAACAAACTTGGTATCATTTCAGGTGGAAAATGTTCAGATTGTAAGGGGAAGAAACATGCATCTTGTGGTGTTAAATATAATTTGCAATTAAATCATTTCTTTCAGGAGGAAAAGCAATTCAAAAATTTTAATTCATATAAAGAAGCATTCTGATCCTGCAGATATTCATTTACGAGCAATACACATGATATTGTATGTTATTCTTAATGTACAGCAATAGCAAACTTAGGTAAAGAAATCAATAACATATACTACCACACCAAGTTGCATCGTGTTTCATCACATGTATATATATATAGAAGTAAACATATCTATACCTACAAGCAATTTTCTCAAGGTGAGGGGGTGTCTTTGCATACCTCACTTATGTGTAGCTCTGCCACCAACACTACCATGCTTTAAATGTTCTTGAATAAACCTTTCTTCTGCATGAGATGGGTACTTATTTCTAATGTACTCATAAAGGCACTTATAATAGGAGAAGTCAATCATGTCACCATCAGTTCTTACAACAAAAAGACACTTTGAGTAGTTAAACACGGGATGACGTCCGACCTGCACATGCAAAGTCATATATTTAGCAAAACTCTAGCAGGTAATTCACAAACAAGGAGAATTAAAAGACAAAGAATTAGCACCAAAAGCATGCTATCCCATCAGAATCACATATGTAAGTAGATATATAATATCAATAACTGCATTCTGTTTACTTATATTCAGTATTCACAGCAAATGAAATGAAAATAGGCCCGCAGAAAAACAAAAGCAAAGAAGATCCAACTAGTTAGAGATAGCATGCCTTGGATTTATGAAGTGAATATATACGCATCTTGAGTATTTTATAGGTAGGAACATATATTCTTAATCTCATGTCTTCTCATCACTTTTTTTACAACAAATGTGATTGGTGACCCAAAAAGGAGAAATGACTAGAGTCAACCACTTTTATGCTTTGTATCGCTATATAAATTCTTCTAGACACACAAGACAAAAGCAACAAGAAGGATCTCACTCTCTAGCAAAAAGAATTAGGAGATATAGTATTTCCAGATTTTATTCACATCAAGGCCACTCTTGCTCAGGAATAACAAATAAAAGATATGGGGAGATGAAATAGTTTATTGGGATGGAGGTTCCCTAGTCAAAGCAATGAATTTACATCCGTCAGAGGAAGTGCATGCTAGATCTCTTGAAAGAAATTGGCATGTTGGGGTATACAAAATATAGTAGATGATGAGAATGGAAAGGAAATTTAGTATGCTTGCATTATTTACTTTAAATCTTCCTGTATTTATCCTTCTTAATAATGTGTATTTCTATTCTTCTCAACTGTAACAGTAATTTTCTTTTGTTTAAGGGTTAAAGTGAAAGTTGAAATACTGGGTCAAGCTTCTAGCATTGACCCACCCTTCTCTACTATTGTACCAGTGAGAATGAGACCGCTTCTCAACTTAAATTCATTCTGTTGTTTTATTAACATTGCAGTGTTGCCGTTTAAATTGTTGCTTATTTTGTTTCAGATGGATTAACTGTAATTGAAGGTGGAGGGGATGACTCTACGAAGATTGCTCAATGTTGGCTAGTTCTGTAACTTTTTAAGACTTCAATTTTCATGCGGCTGGTTGTTTTTAGTAGATTCTTGTTGCTGTAATGGAGCTGGATTTTCATGTGGGTGGTTGCTTTGATTAGCATGCTATTGTTGTAATATTATGTGGCTGGTGTTAAAAGTGGTTCGGACTTTAATTTTCAAGTCATGTTGCTGGTTATAAATTTTAAATGTGATTCGAACTTGAATTTCATGTGGCTGTTATGAATATAATGTTCTTTGCTGTTATATTAAATGTGTGTTTGCTTTAAAGTTTGCCAAAAGAGAATTTGCCAAACTGACTTCAAAACAGTAAAAGAAGCCCCCACTTGCGTTTCCCAAACTGACTTTTTCATGGTTTTTATGTTTTGTGGATGAGCTTTAAAGGAGAAAAAAAAAAGTTTTTCTACCCAAACATCAGTTCAATGGAAGTTAATTTGCCAAAGAACTTTGGGGGTACCAAAAGAGGCATCCAACACCCCATAAATTGTTATTCCCTACTTCCCTTAGGTATTAGTCAAGCCTTTTCCACTTTAATGCAGCTGGAATTTCCATGTGGCTGTAAGTGTCAACTTGTGGTGATAATTGTTGGCATTTTACTGTGGGTTTTGATCTATGCCTCATCCATTTTCAAGTTTCAAAATTGCCTTCACTTTTTCAGGTATATATTCTATATTTCAGTTTTAACTTTTCAAGTTTCAGAATTGGCATCACCATGATTTAGGTATATGGTACACTATATTTCTTTTTTGGTTTCTCAACAAGTATATTTCTATTAGAAATAATCATGTTCAAAGCACTGTTAGGCAGTAAATGGGAGCACCTTCCTACAACAACTTGGGGTCGTTATATTGTGAGGGACTAACCCTTCCACTAGTTTCCAACCCCCTTATTCAAAGTCCTTCTTCTTTTTTTTCCCCCACTTGAAGGGGGCTGAATAACAGCTGGTCTGCCAGACCAGTCCACTAGCTTGTGGTGGACCAAGCCTGGCCATTGGGCTGGACCAGACCATGGACAAGCATGTCAAGCCTGATCATATTTCAGACCAGGCTTTGGGCTAGGGACTAACCCAGTCTTCACACACTTGTAAAACATACAATCTTCTAATATTAAGTCTACCAAGAAAAAAACTTCTAATGTTAAAAATAATTTGCAATTAAATCATTTCTTTCAGGAAGCAATTCAGAATTAGTTCACACAAAAGAAGCATTGTTGATCCTGCGGATATTCATTTACAACAAGTTCACATGATATTGTATGTTATTTTTAATATACAACAATTGCAACTCAGAAGTTGCATGGACAACATAATAAAGAAATCAATAGCATTATACCATCATGCCAACAACTTGTAGCATTACACTACCACGCCAACATGTTGCATTGTTGCCATGGCATCTAGATATGGATATAGAAGTAAGCAAATCATACCATAATTGATGCAAGACCGCATCCAATCTTATCATCATAATGTGGATGGTAAACAAGAAGTTTCTCTACCACAACTTTCTCATCCTCATCTGTCAATTGCTCTCCAACCATGTACCTAGTGTAGAAAATCAAAGACTTCAAGAAGATAGTTTTATAAGGTCAAATAAAGTAAAGTTGTAGAAGCTGTATCGGTCAATATTCCAAAGATGCAGCAACAAAGATGCAGCACATGTCAATGTGAGCAAATGATGGAGACGTAGAAATTATGACAGAAAATTTGTATACTATGTAGAGTCTCCCAGGCAGGCCAGCACTGTTTTCCGTGGTTATTATAGATCTCCATCTTAGTTATTTCCATGTGGCTGTAAGTGTCAATGTATGTTGACAATTGTTGGCATTTTGCCATGGCTTTGATGTATGCCTCTTCCATTTTTCAAGTTTCAGAATAGCCTCACTTTTTCTAGAAGAATTTACAGAATAACAATGCTTGTTTCAAAAGCAGGCAAGCACCATTTTTAGCAAATATTACAAGTACAAAGTCTCACTTGAAGAATCATGAATTTTCTCTTTCAGTCTTCAAATAGGCTTCAGGTTAGTTTAGCCACACAATAAGGTACACAAGAATTTTACCCTACAAATGTGAATAGATCTCCATCACACAATCAATAGTGCTCAGAGGCAAATGATATTCATACTATAATGTTTGTTTTCCTAACAAGGAGCCAATATAGTCTCATAAGGAATTCTCTAGAGGAGAATGTTAATTTTGGATCTTGCGTCTCTCTTCTCTCTCTAGAGTTTCTTGTTTCTGTTACCTGCATGGCTACTGCTTCCTTATACTAGGTATATTACGCAACAATGAGTGCCTATCATGATAATAGGTTTAGCTTTAGCATTATTCCAATTTCTCGTGCATTTAGTTTGATAACATATAACTCCTTTTGTTTGCATATATGGGTATTCGACAATGAACGTCGGAAAGTTAGAGGCAATACGACGAACAGTTGGAGAGCAACAAGAAGCGAGAAATTTCATATAATGAATTAGTGTCATGACCTGACCTTCCCGAGTGAAGGATATCCTTGGCTAGCCTAACGATTGGATCAATGTCGTTGACGATCTCCTTTGCCTTATCCTTCCATTCCTCATAATCAGGGTCATCCTGTAGCTTCGAGATTTGACCAGCATAGCTTGCTTCCTCACCTGTTTGTCCCGAAATCGGAATGGTGGGAACACTACAGAATAAGCGATGAGGCGTCACATTCACGGGGATTCGGGCCACAAAACGCCGCAAGTTTTGGAATTGAGAGCTATGAAGCAGAATGTCACGAAGTAGAGGGCCAGCCATTTCACATCTCGGGGTTGTACGATCCAGGCAAAAGGTGGTAATTGGGAGTGTGTTAGGGTTTGGTGGTTCTGATTTAGTGATTATGATGGCAAAATCAATGAAAGCTCCAGGTAGAGGGAGGAACTATGGCATTTTCAGTGATGACATTGACGCTGAAGATAATCGTGCTGGTTACTTGCGCAGTTAAACTAAACCGTTTTAGTGAAAGATTAGAGCGGCCAGTGACAAGCTGAGAATTTCAAAGTTACTTGTGATGAATTTGAATTTACATTCTAAATTTTAATAAAAAATATATTTTTTAATTATGTTAAAATTTAAAAAATAAATTTATAATTTACTTTAATATAATTATAAAATTGAGAGATTAAATTATAAATTTTTAAAGTTTTAACATTTGATATGTAAATTAAATTAATTGATCTTTTTAAAATTTTTTTATCATTTTGACAATTACAAATACAGTCTAAGGTTTCATTTATATCATTATATGTTCATCCTCTAGTATTTACATATAAAAATAATAATAATTAATTAATTTTTTTGGATTTATTTGTAACTCTTCATTTAATTTTTCACATTCTATTATGCTGTATAAAAAAATAAATGTATGATACTAAATAAAATATATGAAATAAATTTTTTGCAGAAAAAATTATAATTTAACTAAATTATTGAAAATGTTTTAATATACAATATTTTGAGTTGTATCTTTTTTTATCTTAGAAAATATGGGATATTTTTTTTTAAAGAGAAAAAACTAGAGATGTAACACCTGTTTACACTAATTTAACTCCTCTTATGTAAGATGTTATTATTAATGGCAATCTTATAAGTACTTCAAGTTTAGAAATATATTCGGTATTTTTAGTTAATATAATTGCATGTCTCAAAATTCAAATTTAAAATTTTAAAATAAGTTAATTCAATGCTTTCAATTAGTTATATTGAGTGGCCATCAATTTTTAAATTATATCTATTAATCTTCTATTTGCATAAAAAATATATCATTGTAGACAAGGATTAGCAAGTAGTGTAATTTGAAAATATTATATTTTTTAATTGTATCTGTTAGAATTTCATTTGCATGAAAAAATATAGAGTGGTAGAGAAGGGTTAGCAAGTGATGTAATTTGAAAATATTACATTTTTTAATTGTACCTATTAGGATTCCATTTACATTCAAAAATATATCATGGTAGAGTAGAACTGGTAATTTAGATGGGTTGAACTTATTTGGATCGAACTTAATTCAGACTGACTTATTTAGATTGAACTTAAAGTATCATATTTTAAAAAAAAACTCATATAGTCAAGCATGCTTCGAGCTTATTCGGACATACCTGGATATCCAAAACTTTTTAAAAATATTTTTTCCTTTATTTTTAAATTAATTTTAATTTTTAAATAATTCTATTAAGTATAAAATATTATTTTAATTTCAAAAGATTAAAATAAAAAATAATAACTTATCAACTTTGTACTTAAGTAACTCTGTTACTGTTTTGTTGTATTATATACTCCTTTACTGTTATGTACTCCTTTATTTGGAGAATAATTTATTCATGAATGTTTCCTTTATTTATACATTAATGTCTTATTTGTTTAAATATTACTTTTATTATGGTTATATATAAATATTTTATATATTTTAATTAACTTATATTATTTTAATTATGATTAAGTTGATTTCAATTCAGTCACGATAAGACCATTAATTTAAAATTATTATCCTAATTAGTTTAAAATTTTTAATAACCTTTGGGTAAAATGTACCTTTTGTTTTTAAATATATGAAAAAAAATAATCATCATTATATTATATAAAATAAATTCATTTAATAATGAGTAAGGTACCATTTTTTTGGAATTGTTTTTTTAACTTTTTATATTATTTAACCCCTATATATTAGGGTGTACATGCCCAAATTTTAACTTTAAAAATTTTTTCTTTAAAATTAATTATCTGATTTTATAAAAAAATAATATATTTTTTGATACACAAATAATGTATAGGACACAAATTTTAAATATTTTAACCATGTACATTATATTAATATAATATGAATAATAAATAAAAATTTATCTTTTAAAAAATAAAATTATGCACCATTGATAATAAAAAAACATGAATAAAATTAATATAAACATAAATATTTAAAATTTTATACAGTAATAATAATATTTTTTTATTATCAATGTCTCAACTATTCAAAAAATATAAAAAAATTATTATAAATAGTTATACAATAAAATATTTTTTTAGTTGAATGACATTTAAACCCTTATGAAAAAAATAACATAATTAATAATAGAGAATTTTGAAAAATAAAATTAAAAGTTATGAGAGTTAACTTAAACTTTTAAATATGAGGAGGTTATATGCAACTGTCTCAAAGTTCAGAAAAGTTTTATGCATTTTAGCCTAAAATTAAAGAAGTAAATTAAAACTTTATATAAAGTTAGAGGATAAAAATATATTTTAGCCAAAAATTTATTTAAAATATATATTTATAGTAGAATGAGAATAACCGAATCAGGCTTCATCGTTTTTCAAGAGTTTTGAATTTTATCTTTTCACATAAATAATTTAATATTAGTAACTATAATTAAATATATTTTTCCCCTTTCCTCCCGAAAGAAAATTTTATTTGTATCCCCTTAAAATTTTAAATATATGTGTATTTGAAAATATAAATTTGTTAGATATTAATTATAAAAATAAATTGTATAAAATTTACAAAATATAGTTACATAGTTGCACGGGTGTCAAGAAAGGATCATGTTATATTCAAATATTATTTTCAATAAATTCATATGATTAAAAAAAAAAGGAAAACATGTAGCATCATAAAATATTTTTACCAATAATATGTGTATATTAACAAATCAATCAATGAGATATTTAAAGGAAGATTGGGAGAATATGATATTTAATTAGATGGAGGGATATATATTTTAAAATTTATTAAGGTTTACTTGATGAAATTTTAAAAATTGTATTTACAGAGAAAAAATTAATTCATTGTTGAATTAATTAGTGAATCAAAATTTATCATTCTCAAAGAGTTTTAATTTTTATCTTGTTGCATAAATAATTTCAATAACCACACTTTTTAATATACTTTCCCCTTTTTTCCTCCAAAAGAAAATTCTATTTGTATCCCCTTAAAATGTTAAATATATGTATGTTTACAAATACATGGACATCGATCATAAAAATAAATGGTATAACCTTCAAAATTTAATTTTAATAACAAATTTATAATGTATCAAATTCTGCTATCTTGGGAGAGTATGATATTTAGATGAAGGAATATATCTTTTTATATTTATCAAGGGTTAGTTGATGGAATTTTAAAAACTGAATAAATCTTGGTGAATAATAAATTTTGTTTATTATCCTACTTCACTTGTTCATTGTTAGACCTTCACTTAATAATCGATGAAGTAAAGCAATTAACAATATTCCACAAGTAAATGAATAAGTGAAGTAGAGTAGTTCTGACATTAATTTAAATGAGGGTAATTTTATCATTTTTCTTAAAAATTTAATATCAAAACAATACTCCTAACTGTAGTGAAATTTTAAAATTTTAAGGGTTTTAAATTTAAATAAGTATGGTCCAAGGATCATTATTGAAATTCTCCCTTTTTAAAACCTTGTATTTGAGACAAATTTATATTATGACTTATGTGATAGAATAAGAAGCTTATCATCATGAACAAATAAAAATATGTGAGAAATGCTTAGCCAGAGGTTTCTAAATATTAGAAATTGTCATTCTCTTAAAGGCAAAGAAAAAAAAAAAGAGGGAAAAATTGTCATTCCCTATTTAAATCATCAAGGTGGTTTCCTGCGATGGCGGTGGCCTACGGCTGTGTCATGAACGCCGATTATTCTGAATGTTATCTTATGGTAAATGAGGCTGAAGGACAACGAGCGCGTGATGATCGGATACGCAATGGGTTTCTGATTTTCAACCATGGGCATTTTCGGTCAATTGACATAACTAGCGTCTTCCCCGTGCGATGCACGGGCCAGAGATCATTTAATTATATTAGTTTATCTATATTTGTAAAGTTACTTTCTTTTAAAATAAATTATGGTAGAACATTGTTGTTACATGCTATGTAATTAAAATTAACATTAATGTGCTATTTATTTATTTTTTTTAAACAAAGTGTGATCTTTAGTTGAATTATATTAATTTGCCACTAATTGAACAAATAATAAATATGAATGACATAATCACAATTAATTTTGTTGGAGTACAGTCCATAGACAAAAGTTTAAGCAAATAATTAGTGTAAAGTATCACACCAAAAAAAAAACTACAATCCATTTGCAATGTTCTCAAATATCCCCTGAAATACAATATTGAACAATCTTGAAGACGTTTTATTACTTTTGCCATGGATTAGTATCTTTAAGCCTTTTGTGTGTAAATTTATTTTCATCTAATCCAATTAATTACATGTATGGATATACTTATAATGATTAATGCCTTATTTTATTAGTAAAGTATCAAGTGAGTTATTCAATATCAAGGTCAAAGTCTTCTTCTCAACCAAAAAAAAAAAAAGAAAATCTAATAAGCTAACAGGTGTAAAAAATAATATAAATGTTTAATATAACTTTCATATAAAATTTTTATCTAACATTAAGCTCTCAAAGATGTGAGTAAAGCTTGTATCCTTAATAATTGCTAGCTTCTATTATCCAGCGTGTCTGGTCAATTGTACAAGAGAAAATCATACTTAATTTTATCCAAGGTCAGCTGTTTTTTAAAAAGAGAAAAGAAAGACAATCAAGTAATTAATGCTGCCAATAGTTGAGCATAAATCCACTTGGTTACGATAATTAATGCCACAAGTAGTTGAGTATAAATTCATTTGGATTACGACAATTTATTACGGTCAATAATTAAACACCAGATTTGTTAACAGTGTTTATTACACCCAACTCTGAAAAGGTGAGGTTTTGCACAAAATAAGAGTCAATGAACTTATTGAACAGGAACAATATGTGAAATTTAAACCCCTTATTGTTTCACTGAGCTAATTTACTTCTTTCAGAGTACTACATACAGAATATGATCGGGCTACTATGCTAATGTCCAGTCACAATTTCATCCAAAATAAACTTGTCGTTTGCTTTTCTATCTCCTGAATGACATATCGGGA